CCAGCCTCATAAGAATTGTCAGTTTGTAACGATTTTAATTGAAAACAGCTGCAACTGATTTTTTTTTTTAAAGGGATGAAAAAATATATGAAATAAAAGACAATCAGTAAAAAGAGCCTTGAATCCATTCTACCTAAAGGAGTTCAAGGGTTTCCTTTTAAAACTGACCTTTTTCATTTCAGCAAAGCATGGTTTATAAGTGCTCTTTTAAAGTACTTTACTCGTGTTCCTAGAATTGCTAAGTATTAGTATATTTGTGGGTGAAAGAATATTTCCTCCAAAATGCTTTCACATATAAGTTTATGTGTTTTCTTCTCATCCAAACAAACTCATTGGACAAACTCAGACTCATGTACACAACAAGAGAGATCTGTTTGCGATATTAAGTTGCTATGTGAACAAATGTCACAACATAGATTTTTATGACCAGTCTATTAAAAATGCATCAGAAAGAAGAAGAAAAGATTATTTCATCAGCTAGCAATGTGAGGAATTAAAAAAAGAGACTTCCATTAAACTGCAGAAATTTTGTTTAGCTTTGATTTGCTTTAAATATTTGGTTGAATATGAAACACTGCCTAGGCTTCCAGTTCATTTAATAGCTTTTAAATAATCATAAGATTCTGCTTTATTTTCATTTTCATTTTCTTCCATCACAAAATCTCTACTTCTGTTAAATCTACTATACGGTTTAATAGGAGTTTAATATGCTTTGATTAACCTGACTGTCTTTAAAACAAACATGCTACTAATCAAGCTCTCTAGTCACCCCTAAAACACTGATCTCTTACTCAGAAGAAAGCTGTGTTTTGCATAGGACAGCAATGTAAAGCATAATCTCTTGTAATGACAGAGATACAGATGCATTTAATATATTGTGATATGCAGAAGTTCTCACAATATAGGGGACTAAATAGGCAAGTGAAAGGCTTGATACATTTCTTTGATTACTGGAAATAAAGCAACATCTCAAACTTTAAACTGTCAGCAACTTCAGGTGATCTATCCACAGCGTACTGCAATGTGATTGAAAAATAATGATATACACGATACAATCACCTTTTGTTTTCTTTTAAGTGTAAGCAATTTCAAATGATTAAAAATTAGAACAGAAAAGGATTTACCACATCAAAGAGGAAAAGAGGCATTTTTCAACATCAAGTTTTATGGAAAGTAGAGAAAATGTTTAAGCCAATTTACCTATGCTGCATATTGCTAGTTAGAACTTTAGAAACTGCTGATTATGCCACAACAGGATTGCTTTCTTGAAATGTTAAACTAACACAAATATAAAAATATCAAGATAAACTGAATTGGAGTGAATGGCAATGAAAACCTTAAAACCACACACAGACCAAGCAAACAGCTGCATTTTGGTTAACCAGAAAGCTAATCAACTATGATAGAAGTAAATAAGATTTATCTTTACATCTATCAGAGATTATTAAACATTTAAATACTCACTTTAATTCCCTAAATAAGGATTGTTGATGCATTAGAAAATGGCACTAGATGTTCCCAAAGTATTGTTAAGAAAACACTTTTTAATTTCCATTTAGAAAAATGTATTACCACATTAGATTTCTTTGAACAGCTTCTAAGGGAGGTAAGGTGTTTCTGCACATGAGTTCCTAACTCAGACTCCCTAATTTACTTTAGATCACATAAGAATTAGCTAGGTGGTGGACTTCTGCCAGTACTTACATCATAAAACCACCCCCTGCCTGAGTGTGATTGGAATTCTTCGCCTAAGACTGACCCTGAATTTAAAAACGCAGTTATAGGTTCTGCCTGAGGAGCCCATAAAGTTGTAAGAAGTTTGGAGAGCAACAGTTTGCACATCTAGACCAGGCTAGAGCTGCTAATTCTTTCATTTCTTCCTAAAGAAAACACGAACAACAAAGATAGCCATGCTGCATCTAAATGACCTTTCTTTAATCAAATCTGTACTTTATCTGCTTAATACACTGAGCACATCCTTCACACTGATTATTATTCCCTTCCACCCAATGCTGACAGAAACCAGAGTGGAGGAGCAGATTTCCCAGGGAGGGTCATCAAGCGCAGAGCCACTTTGAGGACACTTCTATCTCCCCAAACACACCATAGACCCTGGTGCTGGGAGAGCAGGAGTTGAAACGGCATTTATTGGTGGGTTCTCTAATGGTGTCTCTACCAGCCATTGCTTTTTTTGAATCATTTCTCACCTACCTGCAAGCTCTGGAGAGCAGCCACAGGAATTCTCTATAAAGGCAGGCTGTACGCATGGAGGGGAGAAAACTGATAGACATGACACACACCTAATCTTTTCATAGGTTCTCCAAGTATCCTCTGTACAATTTAGATAATGTACATTTTGCTCTGCCTTGGAACTTCTACCACTGCAAGGGAGAGAAGAGAATCTGACTCTACAGGATTATTAAGAACATTTTTGTTTTGTAGGAAAAGAGGAAAATCCCAAAGGCTTTCCAAACATACATTTGGGATAAGAGCTGTAGGTTCCCATCTTTTTAATGCATCCTCACTTTCTGGCTGGCTCTCTCCAGAAGCTAAGTCCAGGTGGAATCTGACAGCTTGCTAACCCCAGTCTTTTGGAAAGTTTCTTTGTAATTCCTTTCCCTTTAAGCTGCTTTGCTTGTGCTTACCTACCCCCTGGGGCTCACAGAGTACAAGCAGCCTCCCTCAGAGACCAGTGCCTACATTATTCCAAAGACTGCCTGAAGAGAAACGTTCATGCAGTAAGCCCGTATCACCCACACCACAAGCACATTCCTTCCATGACATACAGGGCTCCATCAATCTGGACTCAAAAAATTCAGAGCTAGTTATACATTCTCCAGAAGCCTTCAGCTACCAATCCCAAACATGCTTGAAAGTGCATAAAATAAATGCGAAGCCTCTACTCCCAACGTGCCCCAGAAGCCAGCATGATTCTTCACAGGCTGTCCACACCTAGTCACGGCAAGTGTCCCAGGAAACTAATTCAATTTTTAGTTTTATTAAGGAAGGTGTTTTAATTGGAGGATGAATGAGCTGAGCTGAAGCTGGCTAGAAATTACATTTCAACAAACAACAGTGCTTACAGCACAGAGCTCAGAAATTAGAAAACACAGAACCAGAATGTAAACACTGAGCAACCACAAGGCAAAAGTATTTTTACTCTGAGCAAATACAAGAAATGCTGGAGCATGAGGCCTTCATTAACTATGCACTGTCTGTCAAAGTACAATGCTGCTGAAATCCATAGCAGTACTAGCAAGCAAGGGTAGTAGGTCATTGCTTTTTGCCCACAATTCCTGTGAATGTGCATAGCAAAAAACTGCAATTAAACACACTGAAGACTGAGCACACCTCAGCAATGCAGGAGGGTGAAGTTGCTTCACAAATCCCTCAAAACTTTTTTGGTGTAATGTCTGTAAAGGAGCTGCAATCAGAAACTGATCAATTACCCGAAGTACCACTTTAAAAGTGTGTAAAAAGGCTAAAATAGCACTGACAGCTTTTCAGAACAGCTGAAGGAATCACTTAATGATACATATTTGTTCTTTTCACTTGAAAAAGTCTATAAATTGCTTCATCAATATGTACAGGAATGCAAGGAACAGAGCTGCAAGGTGCTAACAAACAAACAGTAGCGAACAATCCGCACCAAGTCCCTTCATCCTCTGAACGGCAGTGACCCTCTGCAACCAACAACTTGGGGCAAAACTGACAACCAGTTGCTGTGATTTTGGGAGCAATAAGTGCTTGAAGTTTTCAGCCAGCACGAAGTGGATTTAGCAATTATTCCACAGCAATGTTTGAAGAGGAGCAGTGGTAACCGTGTTGGAAGAGCACTTACTCCACAGCAGTTACCCAATCAGAAAGCAGGTCACATCTCGTTAGCTGGATCATATACATTAAACGTCACAGATTCTCCATGGCTTAGCTGACAATTCAGGCATGTGTGGTTTATTTTATGATAACCTCGTGTTCCCTTAAACAAACACAATACAACAAACAGATCAACCTGAGATCCTTTACCATGCTTCATGGCACGAATTTGGCAGGTATTTGCCTCTATATGAAGCTACTCGCTACAAAAGATGAATACTTTTTAAAAGTGTTTTCAGGGCACCACTAGTAAACTACTATGAAAAATTGCAGTACCAAGAATGTTTGCTGCACAAACACAGGCACATGGGCAAAAATCCAGCCTGATTCAGTTCACACACTTTTCAACCGACCAAAAAGTGTGCTTCATTTAACCATGTAAATAACAAGATGAAGCCTCCACTATATTTTTTTACTTTAAGTGACAAAAGTATTTCCCCTTGCCATTCTGCATATTCTTTGTGGTGGCTGATCTGGATTTAGAAGCCAGAGTATAAAAACCACTAACACATTATACAAAGCATAATCAACAGTGACTGTAGTTTACATTACTGGGTACTTTTGACAGCTATATGATAAAGTCGTGAACCGATCATCTCTCTTGCTAAAAGCAACTCAGTCTAAATGTAAACATGAATTTCTCTTGTCGGTCGTCCTGAACATGTGTTCTTTAAGTGCAGACTAGGAATAAGTTTCTAAAACTCTGCTCCTGTTGTCTGTTGCCATTCATTTTCAATTTTAACGAGTTCACAAAGCAAATCCAGAGAAAGGTTCATCTCTCCCACTAAACCTGCAACATTTCTGAATCAATTTTGTGCAAAAGCTCAAACGGTACCTTGCAATATTATAGCTGCAAACAACACACTAAGGCAAAGAAATTTCCTGAGAGCAGCATTATAATCAATCCTGAAGTGCTGTACTGTAATTTCAAGATTTCAGCCTAAGCTGGTATCTCCTCAAAGAGTTGCTCTGCGTGGAAACATAATGAGGGATTACCCAATTAAACTACTAAATTAATTAGGGTTCGTGCCTGCATATACTGTACTGCCTAGTGGGACGCTTCAGCTGGAATTCGGGCTGAAACCTACCACGGTCCATGCACAGGAAAACACGGCTGGGGGACTTACCTCCGTCCGCGACTGCAGCCTCTTGTTCATTTCATATATTCGGTACTCTGGTTGCACCATGTATGGTGTGTGTCTCCTATAAAATGGGCCAAAAGGAGAAGAATAGAAAGGGTCATGTGGTGTGCTGGACATCTTGCCTGCTTGCAGCGATTCAAGCTACACAGAGTATCATCAACATCCATACAGAGCACATGGGCTGTGTGTTCTTCACAGTACAAAGTAGCGGCGCGCACACACACACACACATCCAGGCTGCACGCACTGGCTGGGAACTGCTGTGGGAGCCGCTATAGCAGGAGGAGGGAAGGCGGGGGGGGGGGGGACGGGGGACGGGGGGGGACGCTCGGGCTCCAGACGGAGACTGGAGAGCTTCAGGCACCGCCGCTCGGCTTTAAAGCAGCAGTTGCTGGAAGGGTCATTTCCTGTCCGCGCTGCAGACTAGTTCAAAAATATAATTCTCCCCTCCGCCTGACAGGGGTCTGAGCTTTGGGGCTGATTTTTCCCAGCCAGGCCCCCTCAGGAACCTGGCAGCAGGCTCGTTAGCATATAGGTGGTTTTAAAGCTGCCTGAGCCAATCCCCCTCCGCACGGAGCTCGCTCGGGCAGTGCCGGGGCCGGGATTACCGCACAGCGCACCGACACAGCCCGCCGCGGACCCGCCGCCTCGCCCGCTCCCAGGTCGTGCCCTCCTCTGCCTGCTCCGAAAGCTTGTGCCGGGCTACCGGGGCTTCGGCAGCCCTCACCGCGCTGTTGGGGTGGTGTGTGGGGTGAATGCACCTCACATCAGCAGTCTGGGGGGGGACGGGAGGGCGGGCGGCGGTGGGGACGGGGAGCGGGAGCCGGCACAAAGAAACAGCCTCCGTCCTTTGCACTTCACACAATGGGGAGCTGGCAAATGCTGGTAAGAGAAACCTCCGGCAAGATGTGAAAACACAAAAGAGCCGGGTGGGAGAACGAGCCCCCCGAACAACCGCTGGCAGCCCCGTTTCCGCCGGGTTGGGAGCATGTGTTCATGAACCGTCTTAAACACAGCCGTGGGGCTGTAGGGTGGCCACGGCCAGGTGGGAGCCGGTCCGTACTCCAGGACCATTGCTCCGCATAAATCCTGTAGCGCTTCGGGAACCTTGCAGAGGAAATATGTCTAAAACTGGGGGGGGGGACGAGAGGCGTCCGAAGGAGGAGAGAAAGGCAGAGGGGAAGTAGTCACCCTTCGGAGGTGAAGGATGAACTTTATCTGTTGAATCATACTTGCAGGAAAGTGCTGGGAGAGGAGACCACGTGAACGAAAAGTCCTCTAAATCCAGAGGAAACAAAATGGGCTCATCCGCTCCGTGAGGAAGTGCGAGGTTTTAGAGGGGAGCCTTCAAATTACCTGTACAAAAAAGCCCTTGAAACAAGGCTGTCTTTAGACACAGCTGTAAAGTATCCGGCACTATTTACAGTACTGAATAAATGTAAAAACAACAATAAACAGCGCTGAATTAATCTCTCATGTAAATTCATTCAAGCAAATGGAACCACTCTAGGAACAGATTTAGTTAACTAATATGATTAAGAGAATAACAATCAGCCACAGTCACAGCAGCTCTCAGCTGGGATGCCTTGCAGGAGCACTGTGGGGTCACCCATTTCACAGATGGGGAAACCAAGGCACACGCCATTGCATTTCCTAAATTGATATAAGAATCCTGAAACATACTTGAGCATGATATGGCTTCATCCACTGCCAAAAAATTAATTCAAACCCAACTGAATGCAGGAATATCTTAAGGCAGATACTGAAAATTGTAGTTTTCACTGGCATTTATCTAAATCTGCAAAACACTGGGTTCCCTTCTCAGGAGACCTTAGTACCTTCCAGTACCGAAAGGGGCCTGCAGGAGATCAAGAGAGGGGCTTTTGGAAGAGCATGTAGGGATAGGACAAGGGGGAATGGCTTTAAACCGAAAGAGGGGAGATTTAGATGAGATCAGGAAAAAGTTCTTTCCTGTGAGGGTGGTGAGGCACTGCCACAGCTTTCCTAGAGAAGCTGTGGATGCCCCATCCCTGGAAGTGTTCAAGGCCAGATTGGACGGGGCTTGGAGCAATGTGGTGTAGTGGAAGGTGTGCGTGCCCATGGCAGGAGTGGTGGAACTGGATGATCTTTGAGGTCCTTTCTAACCCAATCCATTCTGCAATTCTATGATTCTATGATAAAATACAGAAATTGATCATTTCATTCTACTGACCACTGGTCTGGATCGCTATTTATCTTAGATGAACCAGTTGCTGTTTAGCTACACAATTTCTGTACATTGTTATGGAATCAGTTTCCACAGGAAGTGACAAGTTGAGCTGTTTTATGGACTTCCCACAGATTCTGTCACTAAACACCAAAACAACAGATAATACATGGGTATTCCATTCCTATCTTTAAATGCTCCCCAGTTATGGAGCAACTCTTACGTTGTCACACCAGTACCATCACAGGAGGTGCCCGAGTTCAGTAAATAGCATGTACAGCATTTGGCTCAGTAGTGCTGCAGTGACAGTGACGGTGCTCTGGCAGCATTCACTGGCCACATGAGAAGCCTGTACCTAGGAGAAAAGTTCCCTGCATCTTCCTGGTGTTTTAAGAGATCCCAGCAAGACTTACCTTAAATCCTAAACCAAAATGACCCCAAAATTACGCAATTGCACACTAATATACACTATTTTTGTAACTGAAGTACCACCCATAATGTTACGGATTTTACTTTGTTTGCAAAGCAAATCCAAAGTATAACATACTTGCCCAAAAAACATATTTGACTGCTTTTTGTCAGTTAAAATAGTGGAATTTGGCATAGCCTGAAGATTCAATCTGTTATAAGGACTTTTTGCTAGGCTAAAATTCACTGTTTCAGGAAGTTAAACATGGCAATAACATTACCGTATTTCCTTGAGGCTGGGATGGGTGGAAGGCAGAGGTTGCTTTAAAGTTACTTTAAAAAAGAAGGACAAACTAGGAGTACTGGAAGTGAATGATTTGCTTCCATGCTTGGGAACCGTAGACGCTCCTCCCCACCTCAGATAGGAGCTTCTGTGTACGGGTCTAGTGCAAAGCAAAAATATGCTGTGAATTTTTAATAATTCCCATTGATTAACTGGCAAATTACAGCACACCTACAGCCCACCGGCAAGAACCAAGTCCCAGGGCAGGAACCTGCTAATTACAGGCTCCAGCAGCACTTCCAGTTGCCTGTTATCATCTAGACTAGTGTGATGCGCAGAACAGTAAAACAGAAGGCAGAATCAAAGGCAAGGAGAGTTACAGGGATCCTGACAGTGTCATCTTGTTTCCCACTTGGATCTGCCACATTTGATGTTTCATGTGCTCCCCCAGAGTGCCAGCTAGGGGTGAGCAGGCAGCTCTGTGCCTGGGCTTCTCCAAAGATCCACGCCACTGGCATCAAACTACCTGAAGTGGCTCTGGGGTCAAAGGCAAATATCTGATCCAAGATTTAGGACAATCAATACATTCTTTAATCTGGAAAGTGAGTTTAACGTGAGCAGAGGAAAAAAGAGGTAAACTAGAGGAAGAGACTAGTTAGTCTTCCCAGATCTGAAAATCAGAGTATGTTTGTAGCTGTTGTGTGCATGGCTACAAACAGGTGATAGAACGGCATGTGCAGAATTGCATTTACCTGGGTGTATGCACGTGCAAATACCACAGTGCCTCAAAGCGGAGAGCCTCACTCCAGCATTCAGTGCATGGAAAGGAGGGACTGTGATGCCACTTTTGTTACCCAGTCCTGAAACCTCTGCATCTCAGCCAGCCCTTGCATGAATGCTGCAGGTGAACACCAGAGCAGAGAGGCAACAGGACAGAGGCCTACAATTCCCAATTGAGGAAGGGAAGCTGGGTCACAGTGTGCCGTCAGACCCCACCCGCTAAGACAGAGCATGTTTCATGTCCCTCTGCCCAGGCACAAATCACACAGGCCTCTGACACCTCAAGGAGGCTCAAGACATGGTGCACTGAGCTGGCTGATGTCTGGGTGCTGGATTGCCCTCTCCTGGGCAGAAACAGAAGGACCCACGTTAAGTCAAGGACTCCACTCTGACTGCTCTGGAGGACAATTTCTCTTCATTTCAGGGTGAAGTGTGGAAGGGTGCAGGTTCTCTTCCTCTGCACCCCCCACCAGTGTGAAACCCACAGTGCCTACTAGTACCCAAGATGTGTTACAATAGAAAGACCAAAAGCCTACAGCAGAAACTACCTCCAGGACACAAGCAGGGAACGAGAAGATATGAACCGGAGCGGTTTGTTCATCTGTCTCTGCTGTTTGTGCTGTCACAGGCGATCAGCTGCTGCCTTCTCATTGTGACTATTGAGCCCCTGGCACAAGGGTTTCACACAGCCTCCACTGGGAAGGCACCCACACTGCCCACTGTCATGGCACCAAGCATCATCAACATTGCCAAAAACGCCACACATAACCTAGGCATGGCCCTCGCTTTGCCAAGCTGACAGTTGAAATAGCTCTGAAGGCTGCGCTATTTTTAATAACCACTTAGTAATAATAATAATAATGCAGAAAAGAGATACAGCTGTAAATAGGTGTAATTGCTGTATTTATCCCTGGTATGCGTTGACTGTTCAGTCTCTGTCAGTAATCAGGTTTACAAGGATACATTTAAGGTGGTTTGTAGCTGTTGAAAAGACAAGGGAGACTGGTTTTAGTTAGACACCCAGCAAATGAAGAGCTAAAACCTAGAGGTACTTGAAATGAGATTTCTTGAGAACACTCAGGAAAACACTAATTGCTTGAAAAACTAAAAACAAAACTACCTTTTTGAACTGTCCTTTGTTTATACAAAAGCCAGATGGCATTGAAGACTTTTAATGGAATGACCTTAGGTAAGAGAACAAAGCTGTTTTCCTGTGAATGCTCATGAGTGACTAAATGAAATTTGTTTATTGAAAGTTGGGGTGACAGTGAAGAAGCACCAGCATTACCCCATCATCTGTAATATATGTTCAACTGCTAAGCTTAAACACAGGATTTTGACAGGTTTCAGAACTGAATACTGCCATTAATTTCTGCAGCTATAGAATGCAGTGTACCAGATGCTTGCAATTTATAAGAAATCTAGAAGCTGTAATTTGTTTGCATTAAATATTAATATATTGAAATAAAAAACATATACCGGAAAACACTGCCTTTTCACAGACATTTGTGGACAGGAAACTAAATAAATCTGTTTAATCCATTGTTAAAAATATTTGCTGGGCTCATATATGCTTCCAGGCTTTTTCCATGTAGGCTACATTGGTTTTCTCAGCCATGATAATTGTCCTTTTCTGTCATTAACATGACTATTTTTTACCAGAAAGGTTTTTTCAGAAATCTGTAAGTGGGGCCCACAAAAACAACCGTGTTGCAGAGTTTACAGTGCAGCAAGAAGGGTCCGCATGTTCTAACTGCTTCAGGCTTTCTGCAACCTCAAATCTACCTTGCATAAATTACATATAATGATAATTCGATACATATGGCGATTCTAAGAATTCTCTTCACCTATTTAGTGCTAGTGGACTAGAGTTATAGCTCGAGCATTCACCAGTGTTGCTAGAAGTACCTCTGAATAGATGATAACACAAACGGGATTTCAGATACTTTTCAGTTCTGCAGTGTATACAATATCTTACTATGCAGTCAAAATGGATATTAAATTTTGTCTTGGAACTTCATGAATGCTGAGCTGAATGCAGTCTTGAGGAGCCTGCCCACCTCTGACCAAGCAGTCTGTCTGCTTTACCCATATAGTACATGCACAGCACCTGCAGCAGACAGAGCTGGGGAAGAAAACATGAGACAGACTCAAAGTGGTGCGAATCATTTCTTGGTGTTACACTGATGGGTCTTCTAAACATAGCAAGATACAGAGTACAAACTGACTGACCATCTCTTCAATTAAGCTGTGGCAAGCAGGTATTGGGTGTGTTTTAAGTGTCCTCCTCTTGTACTTAATGCAGAGGAGATACTGGTCTGTAGGAGTTCACAGCTGTGGTCTGCCACTTCAGCTTGCAAGAGACTTCAAGCACTTTGCTCCTCACTGTGCTGTCAGTGTGCACCCTGACTGGACAGCATACACGGGAGGCCTCTACTTACCCTGCACCAGACCTTGGAACTGTAACTACGAAGTACATTGTGACCATGTCAGAAAGGATTTTTTTCAATGGATATTGCTCCGTGAGGTGTAGGGAGGAGGTGATGAGATCCCAAGTGTGAAATAGTCAGACCTTGACCTCCAGGGACGTTTTGCTGGGCTGCAGTAACCTCAGGATGCCAATTGACAGAACCAGATCATCTTCCAGACTAGTAAAATGTTAAAAGTACTTCCTATACCTTGGTTTTGTTGACTCTGAGGACATCACAGAGGCTGCTTTCCAGAATCCAGCAGCTTCAAGAATCTTTCTTGTTTTGCTCCATCTTGCTCTTGTTTCTGTGTTCACTCTATTT